GTGAGGAATTTTTAAATTTTGTCACATATGATAAAAAAATAAAAACGATAGGTGACAAAATATATTTTCGTCAATAAATACTTCATTTTAAGTGTGGAAAACTTAAGTTTCGTCACCAAAAATAAGACCCAACTTGTTGTAGTGATTGTAATTTATCATGCAATTAATTTTTTGATTTGAAATGTACCATGTTAATTTTTCCTTTATAATCTATTGTGTTAATTGTTGGATGGTGAATGAAGGGATTGAGAGTGAAGGAGTGTTGGTGAGGACAATAACATGGTGGCAATGAAGAGGAAGTATAGGAAAAGCTAGACTAATAGGAAAGGTAGTAAGGTGACAAAACATGGTGGTGGAGAAATTGGAGGTAATAGAAGAGGGTGGCATAATGGTCGCTAGTAGGGATAACAACAAAAAAAATAGTTGCAAATAGGTAGGGAGAAAGGAGAGAAAAAAAAAATTAATTATTTCAGTAGAGTAATATAATGTGGTGGCAATGAAGAATGAGGATGGGATATAGTTGAATTGGTGAAGAAGGTAGTGAGGTGATATAAAATGGTGGTAGATGAGTTAGATGTGACAAAATAGAGTGCCGCAATAGTGGCAGTTGAAGTTAGGGATGTGCAAAATACCGCTAAAATCATCCAACTTGCATCTATTCGTCGCTAATCGCGGGTTAGTTTGATCAACAATTTGAAATTTATAATTCATCTTTGAAACCGCCTTGCCCTACCATACCCTACCCTACCCCACAATAGTTAATACATTTTTTTTTATCTCTAATAAAATATCAAAGTAAAAGTCAGTGTGAAAGAGATCTGAGATGTGAAATTTGTTATAAATTATAGTGCTATATATATAAAAAATATTATATAAAACTAGTTAGTGTTATATATATAAAATATTATATAAATTAGTGTTATATATTATGCAAATACTTGATAATTGTTTAATGTTATTTTTCAATCAAGTAATCTGTTAAAAATGGAATAGCAAATTTGTTAAAAATTTTCAAATTTCAATCTCTCTCTCTCTCTCTAAAAAACCTCCACCACTGGGCCTCACTTTTGGCTGCCCGGCCGCCGCCTTTGGCTATGGCGGTCGGCTGGTCCAGCTCCCTCTTGTGTTTGTGTGTTGGTTTTTCCTTATAATAACTTGATTCCCACAATGTTTTCTCACTTAGGTGTGTTTCGGTGCTGCTGGTCCAGCTCCCATTGGGGTTGTATGTTTTTGTTTCACCAGGGGGTGCTTGGATTGGGGATCAAAACAGAGTAGAAGGTGGTCGGTTTTGAAACCGGAATAGAGGTTGTTCTAATCTGGTTTGGAGTTTCATTCGGGCGCTCCTGTGCGAGTGAGAGTGTGAGGGATGAACTCTGGTTCGGATCTATGGTGATGCTTCGGTCCAGATCTAAGATCTAAGAGTTCAGATCTAGATCTTCGATCCAGATCTAAGATTTCATTCGAGTGCTCCTTTTCAGGTGGGTGTTTGAGGGGTGAACTTCATCTAGATGTATGGCGGTGCCTCGGAGGTTGTTCGTTGTTTTGGGTCGTTAACTTTGGAGCTTCTGCAGTGGGTGTGCTCGGAGTTTGGATCGGAACAGAGGTGTCCGACCATGGAACTGGTGATGGCAGTGGGTTTTGAATCGGAAAAGCAATGCTTGGTTGCTGTGAGTTTTGAATCAGAAAAACAGTGCTCGGTTGCTGTGATTTTTGAATCGGAAAAGCAGTGGGTTTTGAATCGGAGGTTTGAATCGGAAAAGCAGTGTTCCGATCGTGGAAGTGGAGATGGGTGTTCTAACGGGGGTCTTGGTAGGCTCGGCTGGTAGTGTGAGTTTATTGTTTAGGGGCTTGCATAGGAGTTGGCCTTCAAAAAGGTTGCTAGCATGGAGTTAAAAGATGGTTACATAGGCAAGGAGGATGGTGTACCAGGGTAGGTTCGGAGCATTGTGGAGGATGATGTTGGTGGCAGGAGCAAGGTGGTAGGTGAGCCTGCGAGGGGCAACAGCAGAGTGGAAGAAGAGGCTTACCAGGCATGGCCCTTGGAAGGCATGGGTCTTGGTGTTGGTGGCGTGGGTCTTGGTTTGGGTGGGCTGCTGAATGGTTTTTAGGTTGGGTGGTGTGGGCTTTGGGAGTGCAGCGCAGGTGAATTGGGTCTTGGTTGGGTGATGGTGAGTCAGCAGGCGTGCGTGGGTCTTGGCAGCACAGATGAATTGGGAGTGCAGCAGCTTGGGAGTGCAGTAGCATTGGGAGTTAGTTTGTTAAGCTTGGGTGTTTTGGTGTTGGTTATTGGGTTCGGGTTGTGTGGGTTGATTTTGTGGAGAGTCTTGTATTTTATTTTCTAGTTAAGTTCTTCTTAACTTTTTTGTTTAAAAAAAAAACAAAAATCGTGAGGCCAAGGGTTGGTTATATGGATGCGAGTAGCAGTAGTAGGGGTATTCTGTACTTTCCGAATCTCTTTCGATGTATGTCATCTTCCTGTACCTTTAATTTCATGCTGTTAATGAAATTTTTCTTTGCTGATAAAAAAAAAATTGTTAATTCACCATTCATGATTTGATTATAATTTTATTTTCAAACTGTACCAAACCACACAACACCCCCTAGTTGAGTGACCATGAGATAATAGTGGCAAATAGTAGAGAGACAAGAGGAAAAATAATAATAAGAACAAAAAAAAGAAAAAAATAATAATAATTTGATCATTCCAAGAATAGATTCGTGAACCATTTATCTATCTCTATATCGATCTATAAAGTGAACACCTCTTATGGTGTTTTGAAACCTTGGTTTCTTATGTTGCCAACCAAGTGTCCAATTTTCTATTGGAAACAAAAAATTTTTAGATAAATGAGAGCGGTGAGTCTTGAATCTTAGACCTTGTGTCCAATAAAGAAGATTCGTACATTTTGAGTGATACAAAATATATAACAAATATTTTATTTTTATTTATTTAAATTATACACATATCGCGTGTGCCAACCGTTAATAATTATTACTTTCTCTTTACTTTTAGTACAATTTTTTTTATGAAAAAGAAAATTTGACCCCTTTTTACTTTTTTTCTAGAATATTTTCTCCTGAATTAATAACAACAATATTACAAACCCACTCTTATCGACTTAGAATTTATTCAAAAAAAAGAAATCAATAATTTAAATTTATTTTACTCATAAATATATACTTCATTAATTTAACTTTCACAATACAAATACATTTGGGATAAGTTATATAAGAGCACCTGCATCAACCTCAGCAAATTTTGAACCAAATTATAATCCAAAATTCACTTTTGTATTTTAGATAGTTTATTTTTTATGTAGACACTCTATCAAACTTTCTATTTTAAAATTCTATTTCATTAAAATATTATTTTTTATTCTTTTATCTTTTTCAATTAAATATATGATAGATTAGCATCGCAAATTACAGCAACACAAAATTTGGGGAAAAACAATTTTGACCATGGATTCATAAAAAGAAAAAAAAATGGAAAAGTTTGACATACAATATATTCTTTCAATTAATTTGGATGATGAACAATTGACACTACAATAAAAACATACTTTAGTGGCACTTCACTAAAAAAAAAAAAAATCCACAAAACAAAAAAGCATGCCCATCGCAATCAATTGTCATATACATATATACACAGGTAGAAAGAAAGGAGATTCAATATGAAAGAGAGAGAGAGATGAAACTGATGGGGCAAGTGATGAGAAAGCCAGAATGAGAGTGATGGAGGAGGGAAGAAGGGGTGTTGTAGTCGACGCAAGGGATGTTTATCAATGCTGAATGCTGCTCTCATGGCTTCATGCTCACTATTTCATCATCCTCCTCCTCTTCCTCCTCCTCCTTCTCGCACTTTCACTTCAATTTCTTCAGCCATGTTTGTGTTGTTTGCAATGCACTTTTCACAAAGCACTCATTGCCTACCCCTTAATCCCAAAAGAGCAGCAAACAACAAGCAAACAGTAGTAACACAATGACATCAGGAGGTCGATCGGCGGTCAACCGACTAGGCCAATTTTGGATATTTTCCTTCTTTGTTATAGGGCATTCATGAGATATTTAGAAAAATATTCAAGGGACATCCGGGTAAACGATAGACCATGACTTTTTGGCTTAATTTTGTTTCAAAAAATATAATAAAAAATAAATTACCGTATAAACAATGCCTTAACAAATCAAGTAAGAAATTATAACAAATATAAAATAAATGATTAATATAAGGAGTGTGATAGAGCACGTATTTATAGTTTTTATTTTTTACGTAGTTTAAAAGTCATTATAGAGAAACCAATGTGAATGTTGTAAATGTAGCTTTCTACTATTTTTTCAATCCATAAGGAATGAGCTGACTTGGCAAGATCTGATTTGCAACTTCCTGAAACGTGTGTTGCAAAGGATAAGATACGAAAGCCACGTGGAATATCGCCCGATCATCAGACCCAAAAAAAAAGCAAAATAATTTATCAAATAATCTCTCATTAGAAGAAATTTAGGCCAAATTTGATATTCTTAAAATAATTTATCTTTTTATTTTTTTTCATCACATCATCTCTCTATTTTTTTTATACATTTTCATAAAAAGATAAAAAATACATTTATTTAAATCATCCTAAATAACTTCTTAATAAAAAAATTGATAAGTTATTTAAGATTTAAAAATGCTAAAACCGTAAAAATTTATCAGAACTGACACATGCAAAATGGAAAATGTTTGAAGGTCATAATTTTTGTAGTCATAATGGCTCAAAACTGTTAAAGCGACGTCGTTTTGACATATTTTACACCCAAAATAACGTTGTTTTGATAATTTTAAACTATTATGATCACAAAAATTGTGAACCCCTAACATTGTTGCATACAAAATATTTAATAAAATTTTTAGGAAATCGAACCTTACGTAACTCAAAAAAAGCAATCAAAACAAAACAAAACCAACCGAGGAGAGAGATATATATATATATATATATAAGTGGATAATCACATATACGTATATATATTGACAAAGTAGGAAGTAGAGAGAGAGAGAGAGAGAGAGAGTGTGTGAAGTGTGAGTGAATGAAGGAATGAGTGATGTGAATTGGGAAATAGGAATTGGGAATTGAAATGGGTGACTTGTATTGCCCGGAGTGTAAGAGGGGTACGGAGGTGGTGTTCGATCACTCAGCAGGGGACACAGTGTGCTCGGAGTGTGGGCTAGTGCTGGAGTCTCACTCCATCGACGAGACCTCCGAGTGGCGTACCTTCGCCAACGAGAGCGGCGACAACGACCCCGTCCGTGTCGGCGGCCCCACCAACCCCCTCCTCGCCGACGGCGGACTCTCCACCGTCATCTCTAAGCCCAATGGCTCCACCGGCGACTTCCTCTCCTCCTCCTTGGGCCGCTGGCAGAACCGCGGTTCCAACCCCGATCGCTCCCTCATTCAAGCCTTCAAAGCCATCGCCACCATGTCCGACAGGTCATCCTTCAATTCAAATTTGTGCAATTTCTGATGAATTTTCTTTCGCTTTAATTGGACTCATGCAATCGATCTGTGAATTTTAGTCTTCGGAGATCAGGGATTTTGGCAATTAACTTTGAATAATTATCTCTCTAGTGCTCAAAAGTTACAAATTTCTGCAATTGAGCTTGACTGTTACTATGAAATTTAAGAATTCCAATTTTTGCAATTGAGAGAGGATGTGAATTTCTGCGATTGTTTCTCTTATGCATAATGTGATGAATTTTCATTCTCTAATGCTGACGCACTTGAATTCAAGTCATGCGATTGATTTGTGTCTGCAACTAAGATAAATTTTAGGGCCTGGAGCTCCGAGAATTTGAATTTCTGCAATTAAATTCGCCTAATTTTCTCTCTAGAGCTGAAAAAAGTTCTAATTGTGCAATTGAGTTGGTCTCTGTCACTATGAAATTCTCTCACTAGAGCACTATGAGTATGAATTTCTGCAATTGAGGGTTGCGCTCTCTCTCTCTCTCTCTCTCTTTCTCTGAAGAATTTTCTCTGTCAAGAGAGTGCTAAATGTATGATATTCTGTCACTGTTTTTCTCTCTACTCTTGAGTAATTTTCTTTCTCTAGTGCTGAGAATTCCAGTATTTTCAACTCTTTCTATGTCTCTGCAATCTTTCTAATTTCTGAGCTGGATGATTATTTATGAGTATGATTATGATTCTTTTAGTTGAAGTTTTCTGTTTGGTAAAGAAAAAAAAATGATAGATAAGTTTTATGCATGAAACTCTGTTCATGGAGCATCCATAGTGATTTCAAATTTGAATGGTTTTCTTATGCTCTACATTTACTTGATTCCTCTAGGGCACTGTTGATTAAAATGGGTTTTGAAGGATATATAATACTATATACTCAATGGAAAAATTATATGGAGTTAGGCATACATTGTGGGTAAAACAGATTGCACAACGAATCCAGCTTGGAAGGTGGAGGTGAATCATGAATTCTTGAATAATTTTCACAAGCGATGGAGTAAAACTACCAGAGTTTTATCCACATTATTCACAGTATAAAGGCAGTATAGTTTATGGGAAGAGAGAACGTATAGTTGTTGTGTCAAATACAGAAACCAAGTTCTATTTTTATATACGAGAGTTAAGAGACCTATAGGATAGATATGTTATAATATCTATCCATATCGAGAACATCTAATATTAATAATTACCATATAATATATATTGATAATTGTCCTATATCAAGATTATCCCATATCTTGAATAACAGTTATAATCTGTTATATTATTTGGATCTCTCCTAACTGGGTCATGCAACCATGGACGACCCAGTTGGGTTCGGATTCTAAACCCGACCCAATGTCCAGTAGGTTTCATCTCTCTTCAATTCTTTATATTTTGTTTGTTTGGAGAGAAATTTCTTTGGAAAAATTGTTTTCTGTGGATTTTAGATTTCATATATAATACATGCACTTGTCTGAAGCTGCTTATTGAAGATACAAAACAAATTTTCACAAACAGTCAGAACAGAACATTCGAACATTCTATTGAATAGAATCTAGTTTTTAAATTAAGTTTATTTTCAGAAATTTTTTTCGAGTAACTATTTTCTATTGTAACAAATGGAACAATAAAGAAATCTACTAAATTATGGATTTTTATTTATTTATATTTTTTATATACTTATAAGGTTGACTTTATGGTGAATGAGGCCATTGCAACTATACTGATGGAATTAATGGGTTTTTCAGGTTGGGACTTGTTGCAACAATAAAGGTATGCTATGTAATTACTTGTAGTCATTTCAGTAGAATTTTAATACTGTGCTAAATATGTTTTTTTATCATCTAACCTGTTTTTTCATAAATACCTATTAAATATTCACGTTTTTCATTGTTTGGTTATTATTCTTAGTTTGTGGCCATCAATTTTTAAATGCTCATTTTGCATTGATAGGGTGATATTTCTATGCCCCTACTTTTTCATTGTATTCTAAGTTTGGACATATGTACCATGTTCCAAAATGTAAATAAAGTAAACAAGTAGAGCATATGAAGTAGGATGAGTCCTTGAAAGTTGTAATCCTATATCTGTTGGTTAGATAAAAATTTGTGTCATATATTAGGGTCCTGTGAGTCCTAGAATGAACTACAAGCTGTATAACAATATGTTGTTGAAGATGTTCTTAAGCTATTCAAAATGGAACCATAGTATATGTTTATCCCCAAAGAGGACAAAAGAAAAAAATTGCAAGTAAATTTTTCAAAAGTTAAAACAAAAAACTGCAAGTCATACACCGACTATTGGAAGTGGTTTCCATATGGAAGGTGGTGGCGGAAAGGGGTTTTCAATGGTTGAAGGTGGTTGCTACCTGTCAAAGATGATGGTCGGCCACTGGAGGTGGTGGTCAAAGGTGACTTATGGTGGGAGGTGGTGACCAAAGGAGGTCATCGACAATGGTGTTGGGAGGAGGTCGCCAGCGATAGTGGCCAAAGATGGAGGATGGCCAGATGTGGCGGCCAACGATTATAGGTGGTGGGGGGTTGGCCAAAGAGGTGGGAGAGGGAGGAAGAAATGAAAACTACTATTTTTTAGTTACAAGAATTTAGTAAATTTTATAAACTATTTATAATTTTTTGTAAATGAGTTTTTGTTTAGAGTTTTTAAAAGTTTTGTAAATATGAACAAAAAACTATATATATAAACGTTACTAAACGGACCCCAAATACTAAGTTTTTATGGAAAAATTGCAATTAACATCACATTGAAGCTTACCCTTGTAAATGATTACCTATATTGGCTTTGTTTTGGAAGTAGGCTATTTGGTTTTTTGGCTATTTTGGCCTAGCTAAAAAAGTTGTGTTTGAGAAGTTGGTTGGCTTTTTTTTATAGTTGATTTGATGGTTGTGAGAGAAAAAGTGAAATAATTGCGGGTTGGATGTGACATTTTGTCTTATTGGATATTTTAGTTTATTTTGTCTTTTAGTGGGCTATTTTAGCCCAACCCTCTTCCCAAACAAGGCCATTAGTTGTTAAAGATTAATTGTAAGAAAGATTTAACTAATTTGATCAACCAAGATTGGTTTTTCAATAACTAATGATAAGAGAATATGCACTCAAAGCACATCCCATTTTGGAACAAATATGCTTAAATATGAATTTATATTTTGGATTTAATTTCTTAACAAAGTTCAACAAGCCTTAATGTGCTAATCTCATGTTAACTCAATTTTGAGGGGTAACTTCTATTAGGAACTTTCATGTCTTTAAGGTGGTAAATCGTTTGAGGTTAACATTAGCTTTATAGGTACAATCTAGTGGGATTTCTTTGTTAAACACTCTAGTAATCAGTTAAAACTAAGCTTTCAACAGGGTATATCATAGATGCCTTGCTCAATTTTATTTTGGTGGCTCATTAAGGTGAGACAAGTTGCCCTAGGGTTTTTCAAATTTGCATTGGCCATTCTTTCAAAGGTTTCCTTGATGGTCATTCTCTACCTTTGATCAGTAACCCAAAACTTGGCCATTTCCTTGTATGATCAAATGTTGATCACATTTTATTTCCAATGGTGTCTATCAAAAATGTCTTCTTTTCCCATATATCAATATTGCAATGTATTCATTGGTTATAATAATGTATTCTGTCAGACCTCAGAATATTCACATGAATTTTGGTAGCTTAATTATTATTTTCTCTACAGAATCAATTTTGACATCTATCCCTTGGGGACTAAGAACTCTTTTTTAGAGAAGTGAAAAATAATTTTCTTTATTTTTAGAGAAGTTTATATTATTGTTCTTCGTGGTTAGCTCAAGGTGGTCCAGAGTATCAACTGATAATGGCATGCTGGGTTTGTTGTGTTGGCTAATGAAAAAACAATCTATTATGTTTTCTCTTTTGGCTCACTCGACAAGATTTTAACTTGTAGGTTGCCATCTTGCATATAGATGTTATATGATAGGCCTCCTACAATGACAAACACATTTCAGTTTGATATACACGAAGGTTACAAAATCTAGCCTTTGCTCATAGCTTTTGAGGTTAGAAGGCTATGCACAAGCATCAAAGTTCAAATTTGGTCAAAAGTAAATTTTAAATGTGGAAAATGATCTTGAACAAAAAAAATTTGAAAATTGTATTATGCCATACATACAGAACTAAAATTTGAGGACAAACCTGTTTTTATTCTGGGGTTGTTCCTTAACCTTTTATCACAAACTCAAGCATTACATTTTAGTGGGGACATTAGGAATTTGACCTCATGGGAGGCTCAGTTATTCACCAATTCGGTGTTAAATTGTTAATTTCCCATGTGATGCAGGGAATTGTAGGCGATGAAAACCAAACACAAAGAACAATCACAAATTTGAATAAAAGAGATACTCTTTCTTGAAATATATTAATTCTCCAAAATAATCCAATTTTCCCTAAGGCTTACAGCTCCTATTTATAGTGAAATAAAAGGCCTAATTACAATAGGAAATAAATTAAAAAGGCAATGTGATGCAGGACGATTAGGGACAGCCACAACAGTAGGCTTTGGGGCTGATTTTACACTGTTTTAGGGTGCTGTGAACAGGCTGCAGGAATTGAAGAAAGAAAGAAAGAAAAAGAAAAGAAAAAGATAGAAAGAAAGGAGGAGAAGAAGATAGGTCTAAGAATCACTCTTAGATTCGCTTCGGCATCACACCTAGGGTTTGATTGCATCACACAATCCATAAAGAAGATTCAAAGCTCTCAATTTTTTTATTAAAAATATTAACTCCATCAATTATAAGCATTACAAGGCTTTATATAGGACTAGGAGACTTCTTAAACCAACTAAATCCAAAAAAAGAAACTACTATAATATCTTAGACTTCCAAAACTAATTTCAGACCAAATAAGAAACATAAATAAAACTCAATTAAATAACTTGACTGACAAGATGACCCATGGGCGACCAATACGACCCATGTCAACAAATATAAAATTACCAAAGTACCCCTAACCTTAAAAATCCTAGAAAATATAAAAATAATAATAAAATAAGACTCTAATGATACTAGAAACGTAATTATATAAGATTTGTATCAATTTTTCTTTGACATCATGCCAATGTCCAAATATCATCGCTTATTTGAATTTAGCCTTCCTTGAGCTTCTTATACTATGCATCATGCTTGCTAATCAAAGTCTAAATCAAAGAGAATATGAAATTTGCCAAAAATAGAAAGTTTTGAGTTAAGGCAAATCTTGAAAATATAATAAAAACTATACATGTTGGAAAAAAACCTAGCCTCAAACGGGTTCGTTTAGACCAAGTAATTAAAAAAACAAATATTTCCTAAAGCAACAAAATTATGCAATTGAAGCCTAAACAGTGGAATTTGACCGAAATCCATCGTACACCATGGCAAAGCAATGGGTATTGATCGTGATGTCGTTTTCCATGTCTCAATCGAGTCTCAAGCTATTCCGAGCACGTGCCATTTCACGTCTTGTAGTGCTTTTGGCCTTTGCCTTGTTTGCTTGACTTGCTGCCACCATGCAGCCGCTCTGCCACGAAACCTGGTAGCCACTAAAGGTACCCGTTTAGAGTCGGGAACCTCTTTGAACTCCAAGACTTCCTTGACAGTAGCTACCCAATTCAGGAATTCCTTCCGTGCCAAACCTCCTTGAAACTTAGGAATGTTAATCTTAAGACTGAATTCCCAGTGATAAGAGTCATGGTTGGAAACCATGGCTCTCTGGCCTCTGACCCTTCCTGGATTATCCGCGAATGGGGGGTTGGCGATATCGTCTTTCGAACCCGCGTCCTTCTCCACGGGGCAATGGTTTGGTTGATGGTTGTGAGGGTGGTCTCCAACATTCATGGCCTCGAAACGATCCAAAAAGGCATTGAAATGATTCTCCAGACGTTGAAATCTCTCTTCCATCCAGGCCTCTCATGCTGCTTCATCTCTCTCATACACTTCGTCAACATCGGCTTGCCGGCCTCCACAACCTCTAGTAGCAACTCCTCCACGTACCATTGTGAATTTTGGAATCACTCTTTAGTTGATATGAATTGAACCATGCTTTGATACGAATTGATGCAGGGACTTCTAGGGGATGAAAACCAAACACAAAGAACAACCATGAATTTGAATAAGAGAGATACTCTCTCTTGAAATATGTTAATCCTCCAAAATAATTTGATTTGAATAATGCATATCAGAATTTAAAAATTACATATTTTATTTTATTATTTTAGTATTTAATTATAGTTATTATTTAAGGCTAAAGTATTTAGTTTTCTGTATATTTAGGTTGCCTATTTAGTTTATTTTGTTGTTTGACAAGAATTAATATTTTCCTTTTGTAGATTTTCTTGATTGGCAAGAATTATTTTTGCATAAATAAGATGTAAGTCTTTGTGACAATGCAATATAAGTTGATATTTGATTAATAAAAAAACAAGGGTTTTCTCAATATTGTTCGTTCTTAGAGAGAGAGTATCTCTAGTTTGGATTTGTTCGTGGTTCGATCTTGTTGTTTGCTCATCTTTTCGATACGCTTCCTTGCAACTGTCAGCCAAATCCATGATTTGTGGAGGAGGATGGAGATGATGTCAAGGATGAAGACGAGAATCCGTTTGGTGCATACAAACCACAGATGAGGTGTTTAGTGGCGAACGCATCCAGTTAATGGGGGTCGGTCTTCAAACTTGACATACCAGAATTCCAGGGTTGTTTATAGCCTGAAGAAATTCTGGATTGGTTTGTTGCAATGGAAGAAGAATTCAATACAAAAT